TAAAAAGTCTGACTTTACCTTATTCTGCGATGCCTGCACCATACAGTATGCCTTCTGCTTCTTCAAAATACTCATTTTCTTCCACTCTAGCCTTTTTTAGTTGTGTCCTGGCCTCTATCAAAGCTTCTGTGCTCAAACGATTGGCTGACCGCACGCGCGTGTTGCCGCGGTTACTAGCGTAATTGACTGCGATAGGGCCAAGTTTTGTCCCCAAAACGTGCATTATTTTCAGTATTCGATCAAAACCTTCGTTGAATATACAAGCTGCCAATTTAGAAGCTATTTCTATTCTATTTGTATTCTGGATATATAGTAATTCCTGAATTTGAAGAAGATAATTCAGAACAATCGATAGAGCTGATTAAAGACGAATCCCAACAGATCTGGTTTGTATTTTCGGGGATGGGCTCACAATGGTCTGGAATGGGTATTAATAATGTTACATTGATATATATATATATAGAAATAACGAAAAGGATGTTAGATCCTATAGAAAGATGTTGTAACTTTAGGTGAATCGCTGATGAAGATACTAATCTTTTCCGAAGCAATCAAAAAATGTCTGGCTAATGAGGAAACATCATCTAATTATTACCCAAGTATTATATATAAAAATCAGCTTTTATTTATAATACTTGGGTAGAATTATAATTTCACGAACATTAAGGGTGTCTGGCAAGGGGTTGCCACGATGTTAAGTATCTGGCAGTGAATGACGTAATTTTTAATAATATTCTGAAGGTAATACCAAAAAATCACACTTTATTATTTGATGATTTTAGATCAGTATTTTACACACCTTTAGTACCGTTTACCTGCCAAAGCCACGGTAATCCAAACTTTTTAATGGTCCATCGTCCTTACCTGTGTTGGGAGCATGCGCTGACAATCTTTCAGCTTTTATAAAATAACGAAGGTCTGGAGTTCATAGTCTAAGATCCGGCTGCAAGATTAGTGCACTCATCGAGTTTTTGCTAAAAACCTAATTTTTATGTATATTTATGATAAGTAGAATCTACCAGGTTGCCTATCAAAATGTGGCCGCTAGTATTTTTAATTAAATTATTGTTAATTAATTTTTCGGAAAACTATTCATTCACTTGTTCTTTAAATAAAACATCATACACTTCACGGAAATATATGTAAAGACTTTGAAAAATCACGGTTGCCGTTTCGCACTTGGCCGCATATCTTCGCAGCCAGGTGTAAACAGGTATGATTTTGATATATGTATACGTTCATAACGTACATTTATTATTTATAAATCAAATGAAAGCTAATTTTTTTCTGTTTACTATGATATACGGTTGCCTAATTAAATCTGGCCGCAAATAAGAGTTGCCGGCTGTTAAAAATGGTAAATATTAAAGGTAGAGTATATCATCACAAAAAAAGAGAGTTATCGAGCAACATCACTTGTCAGACGAGGATAGCGATTGCCAACCGCACGACACTTTAAACCCACTGCGCATGCGTCGATTGCTAATGTTCTCAACCACCGGTGCAAACAGTAACTCCAAMWSA